GGGAGCGGGAGCCGTGCGGGCTGGCAGCCCGCAACACTGCAGTTTGAAACGAATCGTAGCCGTGCGGGCTGGCAGCCCGCAGCACTGATGGGAGCGGGAGCCGTGCGGGCTGGCAGCTCGCAGCACCGTAGTTTGACACGATTCGGAGCCGTTGAGGCTGGCAGCCAGCAGCACTTATGAGAGTGGGAGCCGTGTGGGCTGGCAGCCTGCGAATCGGAGCCGTTCGAGTGGCACGGATGAGACAGTTGCGGCCGTTGTGTTCCAGTTCCGACATTATCGGTGTTGCCTGAACCCAGACTCAAATACTGTTGCTTGTCGCTGCTAACACAACGATCAGCCTCCAAAACCTGGATGTGTCAGTATGTGTCTTCCTTCACATGAAACCCGACTGCGTCTCCTAGCTCTCTGCAGTTTCTCATACTCCACACAGCCTTGGCGAAAAGCAGCTGCAAAGTGAATTTGTGCCAGGGGGGCTGCCACCTTTGGGCGGACCTGCACCAGTTTGAAGGCTGGGAGGTCGAAGCAGATGCCGATTTAGGGGACGGCGTTTCGGCTTCAGCTGCTTCACGGTTTCTGGGATGAAGCCCAGAACTCGACAGAACGCCACGACGAATTCCCCCGGCCTGGCTCAGGAACGGGTTCTCGCAGGCAAAATAATCCAAGCACACCTGCGGAGAGGCCAAAGGCTCTTGCAGCGAGAAACGAACAAACCGCTTCGAGCTGACCCTTGCCGATAGCTGCTCGGCTCAGGCCCCGCAGAAAAAACTCATCTGCCACTCCGCTTTCTGCAAGTCCAGCCACATCCAGCAGCCAGGGATGGTGCTCCTGTGAGGAGTTCGGTTCTCCTGACAGCTTCGGGGCGGGGCAGGCTTGGCACAGGCCTCAGGCATCGCATCAACTTCTACTGCGACCTGTCAACCACCCCTTTTCGGCCGCTGCATGCCAGCCCAAACCCCGTACAGTCTTTGAATCCCGCGGCCTGTGCCGCGCCACGCCGGCAGCGGCTGGTCTTCGCCAGGCAGAAGGGACCTACGGTAGTGAAGGTAGCTAACTTGCCTCAAAGTGCCTTAAAGGCTTACGGCGACTTACGGTTGCTGCTGCATGCATGCGCACATGCATAAAGTTGCAGGCGCAAGTATTCATAGGCCTTCGCGTCTCACTCTCCCGACCTGATAGAGGAGGCTCTTGCTTGGTGGTTCGCCTGAGACTCTCCTCTGGAACTAGAACGGATATGAGGCTGACTCCTGAAAAATTCGTGCTCTAAAAAACCTGCACTATCTCCAGGTATTTCGAGTTGCGAGCTTTGGCGTCTCGACTAGGCTCCTGCTGACTATGTGCACGTGTGTAGGTATTTATGTGTGTGTGTCCAGGTGTGGAGGTTGCTTCTGCGCCTGTCTGGGTATGTCTATGACGCACCCGAAACCCTTGGGGTCCCGACACCCTCAGGTCCAACGACTGCGAGCATCGAAGCGATTTCTCGGGGCTGTAGATGCCGTCCTGCGAGATTGGGGTGGTAGACAGGGTGTGGGGGTTGAGGGCTTTTGGCACGTTCATGCTTCAGGGCTTTAAATCTTTCTGCAACGTCCGGACAGTGCAACTCCCTTGACCCCCAACCTGATGGGGGACTTTGTGTTTCTGGACCCAAAACCCGTCTCTTTCCACACCCTCAAAGCCTCAACTCAAACCTCCTTCTCCTGACCCTCCCATCCGTCCTCAACGAAATAAGGCTCGGAGCAACTGATCTTGATACCTTCGACTTGAGCCTGATAGGAACTTCATTCAGTGTTCTGGGTCCGTTGCTGGAAGGTCGGGAGCCAAGGAGGAATCTGAGGAATCCTGCATGACCGCTTTGAACTTCGCGCCCCTGTTCGGCACCGCGCACATCTGATGCAGATACACAGATGCAGCACGGGGCCTCGTCCTCATCCCTTTCGCGACCGTCCGTCGTCCCTGCCAGCCCAAAGCAAGGGCATCTCAGATCTCAGAGCCTTACGGAAGATCGCAAACAGGTCTCCAAGCCCAGAGGACTGGGGCTCGAGAGTCGCGAAAACTAAGGGGCTTTCAAGCATACACCAAAAGTCGACGTCGCGAAGAAAGCGCATCTTGGGTTCCGGCAATGACATGCCTCCTCACCGAATTCGCCGAATTCAACCCCTCCTCCCCCGCATGGCCCTCTCGACCGCTGGCCAACCTCGAGAGCCGAGACCGCGGCCGACATGGCACCCTCGCAGCAGGCGAGCAGAAGTGGCGACAAGAATTGTCCGTCAGTCAAGAAAAGGCTCAGCAGCTCCGGCGAGGTGCTCTTCCAGACATGAAAGCAAGAAGAGGGAGAGACAGAGGAGGGACCTGTCCACTAAGTCCACGCCCTCTGCTCGAGGCCCTCAGCCCTCGAAAAAGACTGCACGTACGGTTTGGCTCTGCGTCAGAGTTGCGATACGTGCCGTCAGAAATCTGCTGCGACCCGTGAGGGCGAACCCACCTTGACTGTACGATTGCTGCGGCTTTTGAAGGTGTCCAAACTTTGTAAGAAGTCTAGCAAAAGTTACCGCCTCAGCGTGACTTCCATACCGCAGCCATATGATCAAGGATTCGGACTTGTACAGACACGCATTGTCGAATTCTTGCAAGCTGCTGTCCTTTTCTTGGGCCCTTCTCGATTCAAGACATGCCTGACTGACTGTGCGCCGTCTCTCTGGCTGCTCGTGCTAGCATTACTTCAATGACGAACTCTAACCTCTCAACCCCAAACACCGAAATAAGGATCCTACTATTTAGGGGACTATATTAGGGTCCCTTATTTTCGGAAACCCCCATTTCAGGACGCAGTGTAGGACCATCCGAAAGCTTCCGCCCTGGAAATCCCCGGCCCATGCAGGCTCGAGTCGCCAGACGCTACGCAGGTGCCCTCCGTAGACGGCCGGGAGAATCCACTGGGCGATGCCGCCATCCTCCTGTTGATGCATGGGGACTCTACAATGGTGGAATATGGTGGGCGTCTTGGTGCATGTTGGTAAACTAAAATGTTATCATGCGGGCCTCTCGCACAGCAGAGAAGGATGCTCACAGGCGAGGTTGATTCGGGTGGAACTGGATCACAAAGACAAACGAAGTCCCAGTGAAATCCAGCCTACCACCGGGCCAGGGATTAGAAGGGCCGGTGTTCGGTGGCAGAGCCCTTTGACAAAGCCTTTGACCTCTTTCCAACACAAGCTGAAGCCAACATCCGCACTGTGACGGACAGGGATGAGGATTCGGAGAGGTTGACCCCTTGCTGAGTCTCAGTCTCATTCTGGGTTCGGAGGGCTTTACACTAAGCCTTGCCAAGCCCGTCAAGACTCGAAGACACACCTGAGCCTCCACTTCCCTTGCTGGGAAACTCAGGTCAGGATGCTAGGATGCGAGGCCCGAAGCAAAACTCAAACACGATGACTTCTCAAGCGCAAGAATCACGTGGACTCTCCTCGCGCAGCGCCGCATAGACCTGGCCAAGGAGGTGATGAAATAAATCAACTCCCGCAAGTCCTGATCCCCGTACCCCATACTTCCTGAGGCTGAGGGCAGGCACTTCGTAATTTTACTACGGTCTTGCTGCAAGGTAACGACTACCGCGGCGGGGCTTGAGCTCAACTTTCAAATTCAAAGGACTTGGCTCGGCATTCTCGGGAGCGTCTGAGGGAACTCAGCGGCAGGGACAAGCTTGTGGACAGTCCAGATCCGAAGCCTAACCCTCCAGGTACCCACTATAGAGGGTACTAGAGCCCCTAGGACCCTATATAGTAGGTACCTGGAGGCTTAGGGGAAGCCCTTTTGATGCAACGTGGCGCAGTCAAAAACGGCAGCATACAGGGAGCATTGACTCGTCCGGCGCATGGCAAGCGAAAGAAACAGCCAGAAGATCTGGCGTGCCGTGAATGCTGTGAAGCCAACATCGGGCTAACTGCAAATGCTCGACGCATAAGCACGCGAGAGGCTAGAAAGGACTCCTCAACTGCACCAGAACTCAGCTTGAAATGTCTTTCTACTGCTACTGTGCACAGGTGTGTGCAGGCATTGCTGCAGAAAACCCACAGCGTTGGGCAGTGGGCATCCAAGGAGCCTTCAGCACAAAAACAAGCAAACACACACACGCACACACAATACCACTCTTGTGGAACATGGTAGAGGCTCTACCTCCAGTGCTATGCATCGCAGTCTTTTGCATCCTTCATGGCTGCGTAAGTCGCGAAGAGGGCTACGGGTACAGCTGAACGTCGAAGACTAGATTGCGTTTCATCCTGTGCGCCTCCTTCTGCTGATGGTGGTTTCTTTCCTGTTCTTGTTGTTTGTGGCTGTCTTTTCGCTGCCCCTGGTCTGGCTGTGATCTTGCGTGCGAACTCCGAACTCCATCACTCCATCCTCGCCTCCAGGGGGCTGTCGTAGATTCGGTCCGCCTCCAGCCTCAACACACAACGTCGTCATTACTCTTACTGTCATTGTTGTCTGCTACTGTTCTCATGTATTCAACCTATCCACAAGCCGGTCAACAGGTCAAGGATAGCCTTGCTGCTGCCAAACTGGAAGCTTTGCGGAGCACTGGCAGCAAAGGACTGGGCCAGTGAACTCTCCAAGCAGTTCGCAGCGAGCATCCAAGGAACCATTTGAAGAAGCATCTCTCCGAACGCAACAAAGCCACGCTTCAGGCTAAACCGTTGCACAGAAAGCTGACAAGGCATCCCTGCAAAGCAAGAACCAGTCACAGCTGTTACAAAGTCAAAAACCGAAGACCGAGACAAGAGCTCACTGGCTTCCAGCCCATCTGTTGGTGACGTGCCGCTGCGTTGATGCCGAGAGGTCTGGATGCGCATCCAGGTGAACCATCGCCAGATCGCCGAAGGGAATCTTGGCAAAGATTCGAGAAGTGAGGGTATGTTAGTTGGGAGCACCCTATGCCTTGCTTTTTGAGTGTCTCTTCTTCCACCGGGTCAAGGGAGCTGGTGAGGCCCCCCTATGTTCGTGAGGCACTCTCTCTCTCTCTCTCTCTCTCTGTTCTTTGGTCTGTCCGGTTCAGTCAACTTGCCTCACACCCCACAATGCAGCCCTCCCTCTAATGCGGATGATGATCGGGCGACTTGGGTTGGGCGCGGCTTTTGTGGGACGCACTCCAAGTTTCGGCAAGGGTGGCATAATCGTCCGTGCTGTCTTTCAATGCAGTTCGCTATATACATGACCGCGCGTGCGGGCAAGTCGTCGCACATCGTTCAATGGCTCAAGAAGACCGTGGAAGAAATCGTGGCCTAGGCTGTCTCCGTGAGATGATGTGAGATGCTTTCCTTGACTTGCAGGACGAGTGGAGCTGGCCTGCACTAGGAGAGCATGGAATGTGTTGGGGAGATTCGATAACACCTGAATCGAGTCGGTGGACCCCCGCAACCAAATCGAATCATCCGCATCCCTCAGCCGATCCCTCGTGCAAACGTCTTTCTGAGCGCCGGGTGCGCCGCCATCCCCGCCCACAGGTGAAACACCCAGCGCTGCGAGTGTGCATACTACCGTTCCCTGTGACGACACTCTCCCGGGTTCCATGGCAAGAAGCGATGCCATCTGCCTTCGGTTTCGTGCCACTTACACCCCCCTGCAACCCCGCCGCATCGCCTCCCGTCTAAACGGAGAAGCCGGACGACCCTTGCGGCACCGACGAGGGAAGCTGGCCCATAAAACGGCTCATCGACCGGACTCGGCAGATGACCGTCCTTGCGCATTGTGTTACAACGGCCGACGATGATCACAGCCTGATTGCGAGACCGCGCTCCGTTGACCGTCATGGGCCTGTCTGTTGTTGAACCAGAGCAATCATGAAGATATCAGGTGGGCAGGAAGCAACACTGATGGCAAGGGCCTCAACAGGCCTCAACATCACGACATGGCAGATCTCTGGAAGGGAATGCCCAGCCTTGCGTCGCCGAATGCAGAAATGCAGAAAGCGAAGGGCCTGGAGCAAACTTCCGCCACTGAATACGTACTGGCAAATTGCCATGGCGACATGACTATGACAAATCGTGGTGACCACGGTGGTAATCCTGGTCTTCACTCGGAAGACTTTGTGCAACAAGAGACTCCCAGATGCTAACTTGACTAGAACCTGGAACCTCAAATCTGGAACAACCTTATGTGTTCCCTGCACTATCTTCACTTCAGTCTCTGCGTAGCTCGGGGAAAGAACACAATCGGAGCCTCGTCGTGGTACTCGCAGACAAAGACCGGTAGCGGCCCCTTCCTCCGCTTGGCCTCTTGCAAAGACGGCTGCACGGGTCTACGTTCCAGCAATTTTTGACCAAGAGGAATTTGGTCTCCCGAAAGTCAAAAACTCTGCGTTTGGGATGGCCTTCGGCTACGGCCATTGCCTGTTTTGGGAGGGGCAACCCACGTACTTCTGCCACCTCGACCTCCGGTGCCGCTGCCACGCTGCAGCTGCTCCCAGCAGACGCATTGCTCATCGCCCGACCAGCTTCTGGCTTGGAATCTGCTTCTTAGGCTCCGCAAGATCATCGGAGACGGGGTCTGTGGGTAGGATAGTGCCGCTGCGGCAATTCTTCCATTCTTGCGCTGGATACGATGGTCGCACTACCAACCTTGATCACCATGACCATGGTGCAACTAGGGGCAGACTGCTGGCTCAGTGTCTGTCATGACGACTAAGGGTTGCAGCACACAAGGGCTCATCACAGAAAGCTTTACCGGCTTCACGAGTGTATGGAGTGAGGCCTGGGCGTGTCTCTTCTTCCAGCTGTGCTCTGGCGACTCTAGCGGAAATCCGACTCCATTTCTGACAGTGAGGTACTTGATGGTGAGAGAGGCAGACAAAAGGTTCGAGCCCTGGGATGGAGCTGGCGACTCTCGTCTTTTCCGGCTGCATGATCAGCTCGTGGGGTGCCGGGCTCACACATCCTGCACATAGGCGCAAGTCATGGCAAACTGCGCTATCGGGAGCCGGGGCGCCGGAAGTTCCCGACACAATGAGACGACAGGATGGCAACTCACATCTACACATGGTTCATGATGGCAAGTCCGCGGTTCCCCAAACAGGAGAGGCATCACGACAAGACTGTAGCTCAAAAGCATGCAACTTTACCCTGCTAAAAGTCCCGCGCATGATGTACTGGTTACCGGCGCCCCAATCTGAAGAACTCGACTCGACACGATGCAAGGATACCGTACTCTGAAGCACCAGATCAAGAGCCCTGATGCATGGACCTGGAACCCTACCACGAGGACGTCCGACGCTACTATGAAATCCCGCTTTACCAGAGTTTGCCGACGGCAGGAACCGACTACGGGCGCGTCGTACTGTGTACTATTACCCGAAATCTCAGAGAATGTTAGCAGATGGTAAGGAACCACCTAGAACAAGGCGCCCCTTCCCTCGTCCGCCTTGATCACCACGATGCGATCCTCCTCGGTCCAAACCCGCGGCTGCAGCTTTTCCTTGGGGTTCACCACCCAAACCTGCTTCGGAGAACTCGCAAAAGCTGGCGTTAAAGTCAAAAGCATGGAACCCTTAAGTTTCAAGCCCTCCATACAAAGATGAAACTTCCGCAGGGAGAGCAACGGATTTAACGATAGACTGGGGTTTGGGAGACGACAACATGGTATGATTTGGAAACTCTAAGTGGCCATTGTACTGTTGTTCTGTATGTTCCCTTCTCAACAACACGTCTCTGCGCCTTGTTGCCGTCGCTGTCTCCTTGCAGGTTGCCGAAGGCAGCGTTAAAGGAAAGATCCGGGGTCATAGCAGTTTGTGGTCGTTTAAGAACGGGAGCTTAGGGGTCTGCTATAGCTGCTATAGGGGACCTGAACTTCAGGTAATGTTCTGACAAGGGAGTAGGCCCGAGTGGGCTTCAATACCTTCTGTTCATGGCGGCCTGTGCCCTAACATGGTCTTCAGGTTTGCTTTGGCACTCTTTCCCCATTCGTCGCAGCGTGTTCTGTGCGTATGTGTCATTCGGCAGCTCGCCCGGTGGCAAAATGCGGCGTCAAGCAGTGTCTTGGTTCAAACCGGGTGTTCTGCTCGTTGGCCATGCGGGAATCGTGCCCAATGCATGCCAAGTCTCTCTCCGACCAGCCAATTACAACCTTGGACGGCTTGAGGGTTTCTTCGGAGCTTGGAATACTGTAGCGTCCCCCGCCTCCAGGGCGTTGCCACGGGTTCAAATACCGAGGCGAATGCCCCGAAGCTCCCGACACGACCCGAAACAGCCAGCTGCCGTCAAAGCCTTTTGAGTCCCAGATCATCCATTTAAGCACGTTGAGATTTCGTGAAGCTTCCAAAGAACTGCCAAAGCTTCTCCTAACGAACCCTGGACCCCAAAAAGTATCAGGCACCCGCCTGCTGGGCTGCGCGGTTCACCATGGCCGTGATCTCTGCAAAAGATATCCTCGGACTCCGTGCTTCAGGGCAGTTTTTTTTGCCTCAGGGCAGTATTTCGTTGGAAAACCAATAGCTGATGTGGCTGCCGAAGGCCAAGTGTTTTTCGGCTCAAGCTCTGCAACAGCCTGGCTTCACAGCACAGGGTGCGGCTCCAACGACACCCGATTACGACAAAATCCCATGCTGAGGTGTCTGCGACCGAGCCGTTCCCGCCTTTTAACTTTGTACCCTTTAGGTCAACGAAGTCTGAAGCAACCGGACGCATCACAGCTTCTTGCCCTGGCCTCGAACAAAAACCACTACTCAATCCGCGTTGCTGCGATGGCAGCCGCTGTTGGCCGAGATAGTCTCCCAGGGTCCTCAAGAGAAGCCCCGCTTTAATGGTCGCACCAGCTTCCGACATCGACTTCGAAAGAGCAGCCGAAGCCACGAAGACGCTCGGAAATCTTGGAAAGCAGCCCTACAAACCTTGAAGACCCCGAGTTATCGGGAGGAAGAAGGGGGGCAGCATTGCTGTCATTAGACCAGCGCCCGGAAAAGCCGGGGCACATAATGTCCATGTTGTTGCCCGTGGCTGAAAGCAGGTCAGAAAGCACACCGTGTGCCAGGGTGTCGATGGCTACGAGGGCCTGGGCACTGATCCGACACAAGGTACTAGGGACTTGGCTGCCTGCAGTGGCCCCCCTGCCCCAAGAGAAACCCCTAATGCTCAGAAACGCCGCTCTATCTGATGATGGCGGAAGACTTGATATCCCCAACCTGCCCAAACTGGACTACAAGAAGTCTGACAGCTAGCAGCAACACTATCAACGGCAACAAGAGCAGCAGCAGCAGCAGCCACGGCAAAAGCTGCAGAAGCAACTACTTTTCATTGTGCTGCTGCCACTCCTGCGAACAACAACTTCTCCCTACTATTGTAATGGATACTCCTATCGCTGCTACTGCTACTGCTGCTTTTTCTGCTCCTCCTGCTACTACATCAACGACGACGGACGAAGACGATGATAATGACAACTACGAGTGCCACTGGCCTCCTCTGCTCTTGCAGCTGCTGGTCCTGGTACTACTGCCGCTGCTGCCATCAGACTTCCGAGCTCTTTGCTAACCGCATTTCTGAGTAGAAGCTCCCGCGCTCCTCGACACTACCGCCCTGAGCCAGCACGCAGAAATCTGCGACCCTATGCCACATACCATACTTCAGGGTTCTGATTCCGAAGCCACGGATGCCGGAAAGGGACGACGTGAAATGGCTGAGAGCCCGGTTGCCGAGGGGCCATTGCACGTGACATCATGGAGATGGTGTTGATGGTGTTCCTGTGAGGGCCAAGCTAATGCATATGGAGCTATTACGATTTGGTTGTAGGGTAGGTGAAAGGAGGTCATTGGATTCAAGATTTCGAGCTCGCGGTTCACACTTACTTTCTGGATACACTCTTCGGCTGCAGGGTGCGGGTTTAGCATTGACCCCTCATGTCTCAGGGACTCTCAGAAAGCGCTTCCGAGGCGCTCGATCCCGAGAAGCCCCAGCTGCGCGTGGGCGTTGCTGGTGCAGATCTCGACCTCGCTTGCTTTCAGAAGTTTAGGAGTTCGGCATGGAACCATATACTGATACTGCATACTATAATATACCACATATTATACACTATACACTATGCTTTACGAGCGGCTTCTCTTGGATCTAAGGACCTCGATTGTTCTTTGAAAGAAGTCTGGTTTAGGATGGCTTAAAGATGTTAACGATTCCATATGCTATGACATACTATACTTCACTATACCCGTTGAAGGCTTTCGTGTAGCTCTACGGTTGAAACCACTGAGGGCATACAGTAGGATGGGTTGCAAAGGCGAAGGGCACAAAGGGCGACGAGAGCAGAACTTCCCATATAATGGACTCAAACCCACCGGAACAGACTACATTCTCCCATGCTATGATATAATATAGTATGCTGTTCTAAACTGCGCCGGATGGTACTGCACTGCGGCGTATCAGCCGGGAGCCCCGGCGAGCGGGTTGAACTCCAGGTCGGGCGCGCGGGCCTGGAGAGCGCGGGGCGCTGGGATGCATCTTTGCTGGAGGAAACGGTATCCTGACAACAAGTCCTTGCTGGCCCCTTATATATATATATTTTTTTTTTTTT